GTGAAGGCCATTATTACTAGCTTTGTCTCTAGCATTTTTCTGCCTCATTCCCACTCGTTTGTGGGAAGTGGCTGACCCTGGCTTTTAAAGGAAAGCGAATGAACTGGGTTTATAAAGCCGCCGGTGTTTGGCCCTCCAACAGTCGGAGAAACCTTTGAAGCTCTGGCATGCACACCTTGCTGCACATAAGCTGAGCAAATGTAGTTTTGGTGCCCTCCCAGCTTGTAAGAGTTTTAATAAGTTTCGTATAAATTAGGTATTTAAATTTTTAGGAAAAAATACTAAATGAAAGTATAAACCTACGCTAAGGTGTTTGAGGTAAGATCATGGTAACGAGTGTATATGGACTTCAGTAAGGTTTTCGATAGTTGCACATCAGACACTTGAGGAAACTTGAGGCACACGGAATAGAAATTTTTTCCTGGGTCGAGGCGTGGTTGACAAATAGGCAGCAAAGAGTTTGCATAAATGGGGAGAAATCAGTATGGGGGGCACGTCACAAGCGGTGTTCCACAGGGGTCAGTGTTGGGCCCCTTGTTCACAATTTACACAAACGATATAGAAGAGGGAATAAATAGCGACAAGCAAATTTGCTGAAGACACCAAAATAAGCCGTCCAATTCATTCTATTGAGGAAGTTAGTGCACTCCAGGATGGTTTGAATCGACTGATGCAGTGGTCGGAGAAGTGCCAGATGCAGTTTAATATAGGCAAAAGCAAACTTTTAAATGTTCGACAGGAAAATAACCATGCCACATATAAACTAAATGTAGATCGTAATACTACTGATTGCGGTAATCTAAAACCAAGACAACAGTGCCTAAGTGTTTGCCATGAAGCTAACAATCCTTGGCTTCATATCAAGAAGTATAAATAATAAGTTCTCGGGTTGTTCTTCAACTCTATATATCCTTGGTTAGGCCTCGTTTAGATTATGCTGCACAGTTTTGGTCACCATATTTCAGAATGGATATAAATGCACTGGAAAACGTAGGGGAGGATGAAGTTGATCCCATGTATCGGAAATCTTCCCTAAGAGGATAGACTGAGAACCCTAAATCTACACTCCTAGAAAGACGTAGAATTAGAGGGATATGATTGGGGTGTATAAATAGAAGACATGAGAAAAGGGGATGTAAATAGCGTGCTGAAATATCCAGCCAAGACAGGACTTCGCAGCAATGGCTTAGTTGGAAAAGTTCAGATTCAGGAAGGATATAGGAAGTATGGTTTGGTAATAGTTGTGAATGAGGGGAAAACAAACTACAAAGTACCGTCTTAGACGCTAAGACGGTGTATTTTTAAAAATGGGTTTGGGATAAATACATGGGTGGGTAAGAGTTGGACCTGACCTAGCTTGGGCTACCAGGTTTGGTGCCGTGCTCCTTAAGTGGAAGTGACCCGACTAGGTGGCCATTGTTCTAAGCCGGGGGGCATGGACCTGCTTCGCATGGGTCAGTAGGCCTGTTGCAGTGTTCCTCCTTTGTTCCTATGCCAATGCTTCAATCGTTAAGCGGAGCCTTTTCTTTCTCTTCGAAAGCTATAATGCATTGACCCATGATAATGGCAGTTTAAAATCCTAAGCAACCACAATGTTGAAGGGTAAAAGATTGACATTCAGTAAGTTCGTAGAAAGCTCTGAAAGTATTTTAATTGATCGAAAGTCTATGCAGATCTTTATCATCGGTAAGAATTTAAATTCCTAAAATCCTTAGTCAGCTAGTCGCTCGTTGTTGTGACATTCAAATTCTATAGAAAATGGCACTTTGCTATATACTGAATGGTTTTTTTTTATTTCTCATTTTTATCATGAACCAGTGGAACATTGCTGTGCAGCTGACGGTGGCACACGTGAACCGTTTACCAGTGGCATTTGACCTAAAGGGGTTATTTTGACTTGGTCTTACTTTTTGCTATAATTTCACTTTGGTTTTACGATCCAACTAGCTACCTTTGCAATTAACTAGGGAGGTATTTAATGGTCTAGCCCGGCTAATCAGCAACTGATGAGCTTTCAAAGTCCTCTTGAATAAGTAGTGTTGGTAAGCCTGGTCCCTTTACACTTAGATACTACCCATTTTGAAGCCCTGCTCTGTACTGGGCTATTTTGCCCCATACGCAGAGCCTGTTGCGTTCACCGGAAATTGTGTGCAGATCTGGAAAAATTTTTCTCCAGAATGTTCTGGTGTAAATATGGAGTTTTTTTGGCTACTTTCCGAGGATTCCCGTTTGAGGTAATTCCCAACAATTGTACCTCTCAAACTTCGATTATATCGGCTAGTTTTAATTACTCCGTTCATGTCCATAAGGACTACAAAAATTTGTACGGCCTTATTCTGCTTTACAATTTGTTCGAAGCGGTCTTTTGGGTGACGCGGTTACCGGTACACTCAAATGTCCGCTGTCACATTAGCTTTAAATTTTTTGCGCCAGGTATTTTGGGCTTGCACTGAAAAGTGTCAAAGTGAAACTTATCGTACAAATATGCAACTATAGTAAAAACATTTTTTTGGAAATTCTAGTTAGTTGCTTAGTTTTTTTGGTATTTAATGCTCTAAATTAGTTAAAAAAAGTGTGGGGAAGTTCTTCAGTTAGCAAATTGTATTTTTACGGGAGTGAGCAACGAGGATGATTCAAAGACTTTTGGTGCTCCTACCCTCTACACTATCTCCTTTAAGACTGAAAGTCACTAACGTGAGTTTCACTTTTATAAGGGTTTTGTTTAGTAATCATTGCAAAGTATATCAAAAGTTTCCTCAAATGAGTTTAATTTTTTAAACATTTTGAATTCGAAAGTTGTATACAGGGACTTTGATTACTACTATACAATAAACGAAAATATTTCTCACTAATGTCAGCCAGGAATACTCTGGACGAAAAGTGGTGCAAGAAACTGGAAGCCACCTGGCGAGGGAAATTCTTGGCAGCCTTATGACAAATGAGCGCCAAAGACAACTCAGTCCTATCTTTCACCCGCCCATAGGGTTGAGGGTAACCTCTTTTAATAAAGCCAGCCAGGCCTTGCAGGTTGGAAGGAAGTCTGTGACAGTTCCTTGCTATAGTCGTAGCAGCAGCCCAATATTTTTGCAAAATTTCACGTGTACATTTTTAAAAAGGAGCATGAACATTTTGCAGTAGTTGGCTTGAGAGCTTTTAATTTTTCAGTATCATTAATATGACTTCAAATTAGTGTAGAGCTAGCAAAAAAAGTATCCTAGGTTTCTAGATGCTTTCAAATTACTGAAATCTATTCGATGATCTTTACATGGGGGGAGGGAAGATAGGACAATGTTCTTAAAAATTTGGCCTTCAGCTTTTTTCAGAAAACTGCCAGATTCTGGTATAATTTTCAATCCAGTATCCTGGGGCAGATTGGTCAATAATGGTCTACATCTTTTTGCTTAAAAAGAAAAAGTTTAAGGGAGTGATAGGGCTCCAAAATTCAATGGCGTGATGGGGATTTCCACCAGAAGGTGGAAATTCCTATCCATTCAGTGAACTATTAAACTTTCATAAACTTTCTGAACATCAGAAGATTCTTTTCATCCTATTTATAAAATTAGTGTCGTGGCATTTTGTTCGTACATATTGCTGGGGGTTTAGGTGTACACGCGTCTGAGGGACGAGTGGTTGCCCATGAACTTCAGGAAACTAGAAATGAAGAGGGAGATCGTGCAGCAGATGCTTGACACAGGGAGAAGCAGACTCTCGGAGACCATTACTCTCGCTGGTCCGTCATTTGGGCCCAGTATGTTAGAATACATCAGTAAAGGATACCATAAATGGATTACAAGCGTTGCACCATTTTTTTTAACGATGTATGCATGTGCCGAATAGGTAAAACTTGCGATTTTGGCTTAAATAGCAACGATCTTGCTGAATAAGGCAAGCGAAAATTTGTATGCAATAATTTTACGAATCATTCTGACCCTAACAAAAATATTAGGTACACAAATAACCCGCGCATAAAACTTACGACGACGTTTCGGTCAGACTTGGACCCTTTACAAAGTAAATGGTCAATGACCATTTACATTGTAAATGGTCAAAGTCGGATCGAAACGTCGTTGTAAGCTTCTCTTTTATGTGCGGGTTATTTGTGTTTGTTCCAGTCACGGTATTGTGCCTTTTTTGTTTAAAAATGTAGGCTTACAAAAATTTAGTAACTATCTAAAAATATATATAGTTGCTTTAGGCTAAATTTAAATTGCGCTTGCTAAATAAAGTTAGGCAAATTTTCAAAAGGGTTTTTTTAGTACAATTTTTTTTCATTACATAAATGGGAAAAAGCTTTAAAAGTATGAAATTTAATTTTAAAAAATCTTGCCATATTGACCCTTCTACCTTATTCGGCACATGTTTGATATACTGCATGAAATTAAATTGGTAGCCTATATTGGACAACTTTTTAGCAATGACAGGTTGAATAGTTGTTAGGTTTTATAAGTTGTTAGGTAAGCCATAAAAACGAAATACGTTCTCCCTCAGCCGACTTGCACTTTGACGACCTAATAACGGACATCTTACACCCAATATCCTTGTTGGTACCTGACCGTGAAACTGGGTCGCGATCAGCAGCTCCCCCCACGAAAAATACTTTATTCTCTTGACTGGACAAAGTCCTCTTCACCTGAAGAGCCTCCACTTTAGTCACCTCCCCTTACAGGTTTGGTCATGATCCAGAGTCGGGAATTTGATGGGGAAAGCGTATTCATTTAGGTCCACTAGTTTTTTCTTATTTGATCTGTTAAAATAGAAATTGAGTGATAATTTGAACAAATTAATCACATTAGCCGGGGGAGGGGGGTTTACTGTTCAGTAGAAAATTAGCAACTGGTAAACACTAAAAGCTGTAATTTTAGTATTAAACTAGTTTCGCATGAACGGTCTTGAGTAAAATTTTTTATGAGGAAAGTGCAAAACGTTTAACTTAAATTTGTAAAATTTTTTTTTTTTAGTCAGCGGTGATGGTAGAGATGCTTGGAAGCGTGATAGTGTCATCCTACGTGACACTATCGGGTCAACACACCATCACAGGGGAGAAGAACTTCTTGGGGTTGGTGAATTCTTCTCAGGTGTTGGTCGATACCACCATAGATGGTCTCCAGGTCGACCCTCTCACTCTGCTTTTAACTACATCATCCCAGACCCACACAGGTAGTTACCATATTCCCTGTAAACCACTATTTATAAAATGGGTGGGTGGGGGGAGGCTAAAGTACTTAAAAATTTAGAAGAGCGTTATCTTTACACATGAAAGATGGTATAAAACTACTTCAAAACTGATTTCTTGCTATTTTGTACTAGATTACGCATCCCGCGCGAAATAAGTTACTTGTGAAGTTTATCACCTAACAATGTCGTGGAACTATACTAGAATTATTTATGGAAACTGTTTTTTACAGAGCATTTTTTGTCCGCACGTCTAATTAGGGGAGTGTTCATTTTCATCCCATTCTCTCTGACTAAAGAACTTTGATTTGAAATTTTTATTTGGACTTTTATTATTTTAGCTGTAAGGGGAACGTTTTTTATGGTATTTTTTTTAAAATTTTTGTGGAATCAAAATCAAAGTTTAAAATTTAAAACCTTGTTTAAAATAAATTAGTGAAAAATAAACGGCCGATTTTTAAAAGCCTATAGAAAAAATAATTTGTTGGAAATTTAAAAAAATTAATTTTTCCCTTACATTTTTGTCTGGGGGAAAAAAGAAAAAATTTTGTTCGAAGCCCTCTGCTCGTATACTGATTTCAGTAGCAGGCATTTTAGAAAGATTTTCTATTTGCTAAAATTTTCTGGGAAAGGGTTTTGTCACCTTTAAGCCCCACCCCCGGTTTGGCTTTGCTTAAATCTTGTGTATTTTTTCAAAACAGAACGTCCTTTAAATTTACGGGTTCGGGAAAAACACTTCAAAAATTGTTACTAGACTGAAAGGCGCATTTTTTTTATACGGCAAAATTTTTAAATTGGCGCATCTAACAAAAAAAGGGTTTTAAATTATTTTAAAAAACAACGTAAAATGGAAGTTTGGGGTTTTTAAATTTTTAAATTTCAATTCCTTGCCGTACCTAAGCCTCTTGAGTCGTGTTTTTTTTTGCTAAATGTTAGTACGGTTGTGGGGGAAAGTGCCCAATTTTTAAAAATCTTTTTTTTAAAATTTTATATTTTGAAGAATACCCCCTTAGGATAGTTAAAATTCTCAACCTGGTAAAAATCCCCTTTAGTGTTAAAAAAAATTGAATTTCTAATTTTTTGATAATCTTTGGGAAATTTAGAAACCCCGAAAGCTGGTTTTCCCCCCCCCCCCAAAAAAAAAAAAGCTGGGAAATGCCAAATTTGTATTGCGTAACTTTTCGACACTTTAACACTAAGGGTTTTTTGGTTTAAAAAATTTAATGTTATAACTGAAATTTTTAACCCGGTTTTTTCCCCTCCCAAAACCCTTAAACAATATAAATTTTAAAAGAAAATGGAAAACCATTCTAATTTTAAAAATGCTTTTCTTCATTGGCTGTTTTTAACCTGAAAAAATTTTTGTGTCATAAAAGAAACCAAACCCCAAAAAACTTTTTAAAAAGTTAAAAAAAATCTGAGCTTCATGTGTTTAAAATTTTTAACTTTGGGCCCCACTTGGGGAAGGGGAAAGGGAAAAGGGGGGGGGGGGGGGTAGTTTTTTCTAAAGGCCCCTTAAAGTTTTTAAACATACTCCCAGCCTTAAAGAGAGTTGAGCTGCAACTCTTCAGCCCTTGGTTTTTAAAGGGACGGGTAAATGTTGGGGGGTTTTCCCCCAAGGGGGATTCCTTTTCGTTTTTGAGGGGTTTGATCTTGGGAATTGGATCTCTCCCGTTCCCCCGAATTTAGCCTGAAGGGCCCTTTAATCCCCCCCCCCCCCCCACATGCGCGGGATAAACCCGGGTTTAGTGCTTCCCCCGGATTTTAAAAAGTCAGGGGGGTTGAGGGGACTGGGGGGGCGGGTGATGGATTATTCGGGGTGGCGCAGACAGCTAAATACGTGTTATCTCGGGTAAAGCCAGCGACGTAATGATCCCTGATCCCTTTATTTCCCCGCATCATGTTTTAGAAAAATGCAATACCTATGAGGGAGTGAATAAATGCTCAAATTTTCGGCTGGCATGAAAATCCACACTGCTCTTTTTTCAAAGGTCTGGTCAGCTGTACTGACCTCGATGCTGTCGCCGTGAAGATCAGCTCCATCAAATAAACTCAACATTAATCAGCTGTTCCAACACCTTGTAACTCGTGATAGCGATACAGCAATCACTGGTATTTATTTTCAATTTTGTATTTAAATTTGCAAGGGTTGAGCTCCAGCTCCCAACATTAGTCTAGCTAACGTTCTTTTTATGTAAAAATTAGTTTTGTCCAATCTGGACGTAAAATGTTTTAGAAAATGCCCCATTTCTTAGTTGCGAAGTCTCTCATTTGACCCTTAATCAAAAGTTAACAACGAAGGTGACATCTGCACACATTTCAAAACTAATTTTGAGTAAACATTTACGGTCGTATGTTACATATTTATTTACTTATAAATTTAGCATGACTGCTAGAGAATGTATTTACGTTAGTTTAAAAATTTAAATGCATTCATAGGTCAGATCCGGATACGAAATGACCTATTTTTCTCTGGCAACCTGGAAGTGAACATCACTGCAAATATCGACCTTCTTAATCCTCTGAGAACAGACGAGCCCCGGTTACAAGTGCTAAGTGGTAAGTTTTTATTGTTGCTGCAGTTCCTCAGCACACGCTGGTTATGGCATCTTCGGAGATTAGAAGTCAGAGGCTAGACTCTCCCATTTACTGTGGCTCAAGAATTTAGCGCTTAAAAGGAAAGATTTCAGTTCGCCAGCACTGCTTATTGGTAGTCTGCTAGTGTAAGGTTTTCATGGACTAATTTTGGGAGATTCTGAAAAGTTGCAGAGGTTGGTGGACGAGTTTGGTAGGTTATGTAAAAGGAAATTGTAAGTGAATGTAGGAAAAAGCAAGGAGAGGATAAAAAAAAAATAGGTAACGGAAGATTGTATATCCGATTGGAGGGAGAAGGTATAGAGGTGAATGTGTTCAGGTATTTTGGAGTGGACTTGTCAGCAGATGAGTCTATGAAGGATGAGGTGAATCATAGAACTGACGAGGGGAAAAAGGCGTGTGATGCACTGAAGTCTGCGGAGACAAAGAATTTTGTCCATGGAAGAAAAAGGGGAAATAGTTATACCAACGCTCTTACATGGTGTGAGGCATGGGTGGTGAATGTTGCAACAAGGCTGGAGGCAGTGGAGATGTCTGAGGGCAGTGTGGTGTGAATATAATGCAGAGAATTCTTAGTTTGAAAACTAGGTGTGGGATTACAAAAACTATATCCAGAGGGCTGAGGAGGGGTTATTGAGGTGGTTCGCACATGTAGAGAGAGAATGGAACAAAATAGAACTACCTAATGATTATATAAATCTGTAGTGGAGGGAAAGCTGGATAGGGGTCGGCCTAGGGAAGGTTGGAGGGAAGGGGTAAAGGAAGTTTTGGACTTGGTTTGGGGCTTGGGCTGCCAGCAAGAATGCGTGAACTAGTTAAATACTAGCGAATGGAGAAAAGTGGATTTTAGGACTTTACATGCTGTTGGAGTGTGAGCAGGGTAATATTTATGAAAGGATTCAGGGAAACCTGCAGGCCGGACCGAAGTCCTGATGATGGGAAGTAGTGCCTGCACTCTGAAGGTGGTGGTAATGTTTTATAAGTAGTGTAAGCGCGCCTCTGGCAAGTGGAGTGATTGATGAGTTTTTCTTTTGAAGGCCACTCTCATTGGGGGGAAACGCCAGTGTTACTAAAAATTAATGTGGGGAAGTCCTTGGACTGAACTGTACTGAATAATTTTTATGGTGCAGGAACATCACGGGTGGGCGGCGTGAAGTGTCGGTCAACAAGGTGGCAGGGATGGTCAACGGGCTAAGTGTAACCAAATGAGGTGTTCCTGAGTTGGTCTAACGATACTACGTACTCTCTCAGCAGCCTTCACTCGCTGGCGCGTGACTCAATCACCATCAACGACTGCTCTTCACAGAAACGTCGCATGCGTGTCTACTTGTCAGTTGTCCTAATTTTTTTTAGGAAACAGTCTGTACCTGGGTACTGCTTGATTGTAGAAACGATTATTCGCCGCTGCGTTCCAGACAGATCCACCTCATCCCATGACCCCCTCATCCCCCCTAATCTCTCTCTTTCGAATACCCCTCATGTCCCCTATCCGGTCCTCCTATTAAAACCCCTATCCCCCCTCATCCCCCTCATCCCCCATCATCCCCCTCATCCCCCCTCATCCCCCTCATCCCCCCTCATCCCCCCTCTCCCCCCTCATCCCCCCTCACCCCCTCATCCCCCCTCATCCCCCCTCATCCCCCCTCTCCCCCCTCATCCCCCCTCATCCCCCCTCATCCCCCCTCCCCCCCTCATCCCCCCTCATCCCCCCCCATCCCCCGTCCCTGTCCTTTGATAACGAGTAGGGAGGAAGCAGTTGGAAATAAATATCACAATTTAAAAGTTGACAACGTAGGACGAAGCAGCCCAACTGTTTCAAACTTCCAATAAGAAAGTCCGCTTTGAAATCCTAGTCAATCGGAAGCAGCATTCTGTAGGAGTCCTATAAATATCTCTAAACACTAACACAGAAGCCGCTCAGAAATTACGTTATCGGGTTAGATTTGACTTTATTTCCTCAAATTATTTGATCAGAACCAGTATTTCAGTGCCACCCCCGTCCTTCCCAATTTACTTAAAAAGATATGGCAAATTCAGGACGTACAGGCCAAATTCAATCTTTCCAGAAGTCTTTAGAGAATGTACAAAGAACTCTCGGCACGAATAAGTACGATGAAGGACCTATATTATTGGTAGTGGTTGAAGTCCCTTGATATGTATTCCCTGGAATGCAGGAGATATATACACGATAATATACACTCGGAAAATCCTGGAGGGACTATTCCCAAATTTGCACACTTAAAATCTCTCCCTACGAAAGCAAGACTCGGCAGGAGATGTAAAATCCCCCGATGAAAATCAGGGCAGCCAAAGAGTATTAAGTGTAAAGGACCCAAAACTTTTCAGCTGCCTCCTAGTACACGTAAGAATTACTGGTAAACCCCCCCCCCCCTGGCTGTTTCCAAGAAGGCCTTGGACAGGCACCTAAAATCTGTACCTGATCAGCCGGACTAGCTCGTACGTCGGTTTGCGTGTGGGTTTAGCGCCTTCCCTTGATAATTATAAATATTTGACGTATAAGGAATCTAAAAACCCTATTTCAGTAAATAGTTCTTAACCAATGAGATTGGCTCAACCTCTTGGCTCTTGGTCAGTCCTCTATACCGATGCTCTTCAACGCTTTAGTGTAATGTTGGTGCATTAATGAATTTATAATTTATTGTAGCAGACTCGATTTTTGTTAATTGACTACTATAACTTCGTCTGTGGACACATTCTATCCTCTTGGTAAGTTTTAATACCGCCCACAGGATGGACAATTTTGACACTAAACATAAATCTGAGGATTGAGAGATTAGGTCTGATAATCACCACTTGGCTGACGCTAATCAAAGGTGAAATGTTGGGTCGTTGGTGTTGATCAGTTTCTCTCCAAGTCTACTCTTAAACAGGAAATTCGCTATAGCAAAAGAACTTTTCCCCTGTAGCAAGACTGTTCAGTCAACTGACTTTAGCTAAGTCTCCTTTAGAGATTGTACAGATCAGTTAAGCTCAAGTAAATGATCCCTCGAAGAAAGTTCCTTGACGTTGGTGAGGGGCTCTTGATCTAGGTAATTGGATCTGTGCTTAAGTTCCCTGAATTAAGCCTGAATAACTTGCTTCCCCCCCCCCCCACAGGAGCCACATAGTCCCCCTTGATTATAATAATTCGGTAAATAAGCATAGGGTGTATTTTTTACGCAAGATTTTCATATTGGCAATTTTCTTTCACACCATAAACCCTGTCATAGTAATATACAGATTCTTTTATTTCAGGTTACGCATTAATTCAGAAGTAATAACCTTAAAAGTAGCCAGACTCCAGCTTGTATTTTATTTTCCCTCTTGTGCCTTAAACAGTTATAGTTAAACCCCCTCCACCAACGAAATAGTAAGCCTCTCAAATCATTTAGCTAGTATACGGTGTTTAAAATTAACCCTCCTTTACGCCTTTCGATGAAACGCATCATGTTCTTCTGCAATGCCACCTGTCTTGTACTGACTTTTTTTTTTTTTTTTTTTTAGGGTAATAGGCAGTTTTAGATGTTTATAATCTGGATTTCACTGTCTTGTGAAATACTTGATATTACACAAATGACTTGTCAATTAACAGGTGAGAAATAAGCAGTTAGACGTCCTGCGCGTGTTTGGGGACCAGGAAGTGACTGCCCAGAAGACGTTCACTTCCATGCGCCTCCTTCAGGAGCAAAAGTCGGGAAGTTCAACCTTTTATGAAAGACGTCGGCGTAGTGTGCCTGAGAAGAGTGATCGGGGCTGCGAGTTTCTGGATGAACAAGAACTGACGGAAGACACCCGTCGGGAGGCGCTACTGTGGGGCCTCAGGCGTGTGGCCGCCGCCCAAGACCTGTTGACAATATTTGCTAAAGTCTCTTCTGACAAACTGGCTGTCAGTCAATACAGTATCCCATTCTATACCAAACTTGCTGAAGATGTTGCCTGTGCCTTCTCACAGGTTGACGATGGTGGCATATTTTTGGATCTATATAACGGAGAGTGGAATAAGACAGTTAATTCATCAGTATTAGACTTTCATGTGAATATTACTAATGTTACTGAAAATATTCATAAATATATAGACAAAGTGACTAAGCAGCTTAATGGAATCCACATAGGATGGCATGATATCTTTATGGATTTTAGTGATTCAAAGAAAAATATAATAGCATCTGATGAAAGTCTATTTATTTTAGATCTTTTAATACTTTTATTTAAAAATAATCAAAATGGATCAGAAACAGAAGAATGTAAGTTATATTGTCCAGAAATGTATTCCCACACATCGATTCATAAAAGAGGGGAGAACTGCAGGCTAGTTCTCTCCATCGTCAGCCGAGCATTGAAGAGAATACAGAGATATCCTTCGATAATGGGAACAATGAGGCAACTATCGGGCAGTCAGGCCCGGGTGCTTGAGACGGTTGTTGTAGAAAACAATTTAGGGAAACTTTTGGATGCCATTAGGAAAGATGGTAATTTTCGGGGTGACCTTAATGCTTCTGTGCGATGCGGAGTATCTCCCGAGGCTCAGGAAGAACTTCAGGGTGTTTTAACGATGTTAAGGGACTACAGAAAGGTCCTGAAAGAGGCCCGAGATTTCTCCTTCAGTGAAAGAAACTCTGCTACACCAGGTAAATAATGATTAACATTTTACATAACCAGCACAGAGGAGCTTACAACGATGTTTCGGTCCGACTTTGTAAATGGTCAAAGTCGGACCGAAACATCGTCGTAAGCTTCTCTGTGCGGGTTTTGTGCATTGTTCTAGTCATGATATTGTGCCTTAACATTTTCTTAATGCTGACTAACAGAGTACCTTACTTGAAATGAGGTAAATTTTACTTTGCTTAACTAGAGATTCCACAATTTCCCCCTCAAAAATAACTCCTGTAAACTTACTGCTGAACTAACGATGCTAGTGCTCGTCCCATCGGAAAAAGTGCCCTGGAAAGTTTTTTTTTTCCTTACAACGTAGTGTTATGCATTTAGAAGTCTTTTACGTTAGTTATGAGGTAGATCTGTAGCTCAATATACTGTAAACTTTAATGCGTATTAATGCGAGATATTTACACTTCTAATTGGCTTAATAATAAGCAAGTTCACTTTAGCATTAGTTTTAAAAGTTGTTTAAGGGGCTAACACTGCATCTCCAGTATCTGCAAAATAAAACTTTTCTAGTTAACTATGTAAATGGGCGGAGTTACCTAATGCAGACAGTTAAATGTATAAAAACTAATAAAAATATTTATTTCAGATATTCCGAGCACGTCTGCGGAACTGACAACTTCGGCAGATTTGGTTCGCCCTTTCAGCACTGTTAGCGAAGCAATAGCCAGCACGGAAGAAGTGGTTGTATCATTTACTCCTGAACAGACAACTGTATCAAATGTCGTTGGATTAACTGACTTTCCCATAAATAGATCTGGTTTGTTAGGTGTAAACAGTCGTTCATCTGATGCATTCTGGACTGTCCCTGGAAGAAAAGAGGAAAAGGTAACTATCGCCGATACTCTGAAATTACTAGAAGAACTAAAAATCTTATGGCAGGGAATGGTACAGAAGTCTGGCAAGAGCTCTGCCTCAAGAGACGTGCAAGAAACTTTAATTTCCTCAGGAAAAGTAGATGCAATTATAAAACATCTTGAAGCACTATATTCGTGATATCGGTAATAAGGGACGGGG